CCCTAAAAAAAAAAAAAATAGAAGAGTACGAGTACGGTACGAGACATAACGTCGTTAGTCTAGTCGCAGAGCCTCACGAGTCACGATTCAAGAAGCAGCACGGCCAACGGTTCTGGCTCAGGTCTGACAGTCCACTTGGGTCTTTGGTCTCAAGCTATTTGTCTCGAAATCAAGGGTTCACGAGGTCCCTGACCCTGACCCTGCCCTGGCATGGCATCGGAGCCTGACAACTCCATCTCCACCACAACCATTACAGACAGACCCATGGGCCATCAGTCACCAAGCCAAGCGGACGATTAACACAGACCCGACACATCCAGCTCGCCCCACTGAACCTATCCGAAGCCCAAGACCCGGGCCCGAGCCTGGGGTCAAGGTTGTTTGTTCTTGTGTTGGGCTTGGCCTTCTAAGTTTTTGGGCTCCAACCTGGAAGCTTCATTCTTCGGCAGGCGCCGTCAATGCTACCTTAGTACAAAGGTACTATACCTAGGTACGGACACTTGTACATTCAAACGTTCCATCACTTATTCGAGTTAGCAAGCCTGGTAAAAGTAAAAACTAGCGAGGCTAAGCCAGCTCCGCCCAAACACGGCGGGATATCCTTGGGAATCAATCCAGTTCTTCCCAGTCGAGCATGCGGTGTTGAGACGACAACACGATCCTTACAAGAACAACGGAACAGAATTGCAATTAAATAACCGGGAACCAGCCAATTGCAAACCCACCTATAGACGGCACCCGACATTCAGTCAGTGAGATCCAGCAAGACAAGTTTGCTGCATTGCATGCATTGTCCAATCTTGACTGCAGGCAAAGGTACATCTCACCCAAGGCCAAGGGTCGGATGGACCCTGTACTGTACTGTAGTTTAGTTTAGTCTTAACTGCATCCAATCCTGGTGGGTGACGTTCTCCCTGCTTCTTACCGAGACTGCCTGACTGCTTTGCTACAGTACTGTATCCACACGTCTTTCTGAATAACCGTTTCATGGTGACCTTGACTGACGCCAGCTTCTGTCTAGTTTACATACATCTGTACAGTAGTCGGGTTTCCTTCTCCACGCCACGCCACCGCATCGATCGTCATCGGCAATCCCATCACTCGACTGATACCAAAGACGTTGGGATTATACCGTCGGCAAATAACCACTAACGTTAGCTGCAATAACGGAGCATATTGTTTATCTTGGAATCGTTTGACTTGTCGGGGGTCCCTTGGAGGAGAGAAAAATTGGCTTCTGACAAAACATCACCAACTGCCTCTTCTGCCGTCTTCTCCCCCATTCTCTCTTTCTAAACGGTTTTCCAATCTGCTCTGCTGTAATTTGGTGCTTTTTGTTCTTCTGATATTGCCCCTCACCCCACCTCGACCGACCACCTTTTGGTGGTGGACCCTCGTACAAGAAGAACACGCGCACAGAGTAGAACAAAGGAAAAGTCGACTGTTCAGATTGGACACCCCGTCAGTCTGTCAACTTGCTCGTGGATTCTTATATTTCTGATACATCTGCTGTCTTGAAAACTCTGTGAGTTAAGCCGCTGCTCTGTTCTGATATCCAAACTGACTGGGTAGGAATTAGTGGGAAGGAACACACTACACTACACTATTCAGACACAATCGCCAACCACAAGCAAAACCGAGCAAACGAGTTCAACCATCGCCTTTGTTGCAGAAATCACAGGAACCCCTTGTTTGCCTCTGTCATTGAGTAACTATCATCCGAGGTAGTGTCACCATTGTCTTGTGGTAACTTGTCGAACTCGGCGTCATCTTGGTGACAAAGCCAGGGCTTGTCTACCTAATTATCAACAACACCAATTGCGATCTACCCGACAAGTGTTTTACGTACGAAAAGTAAATCACTCGTGGGCATTCGAACTCGAGTCGTCGTTTAACCAGCATACAAACCCTGAGCCTGCCGTTATTGCTACCAGGTCTTATTAATACGGATACTGTCATTGCTAGTCTACGCTGACAAGGACCGACCAAGTTCGACCCCTCCTCACGTGGCCTTGGCTTCATAGGAGACTGCCGTCATTCCGCCGCTGCACCACTTACACCAGTCTACAAGACGCCACTGCTGCCCTCCACTCATTTCAACGCCTGGCGCCCCAACGCTACCGCTCTTCTACACAGCGTCACGTTTTGTCCAACGTTTCTCACCACTCGACCCCGATTTCGTGACTCCGAACCTCACGCACCGTCGGCTTCCAGCAGTACGCATAGCCTGACGGGTGAGGAACCATTTTGGCCTTTCGATCCTAGTGCCCCACGTCATCATGACGGACCGTTATCGCAGCTACCCGTCCTCTGGGCGAGCGGCTACATTCTCGAACCACGCGAGGACTTCTCTGCCGTCAAGCATTGGTTATACTTCTCTATATGCTGGTGACATGCATGTCATGCCGACTTCTACCCGTCAACAACAGCCTGTCTCAGCGACCCCACGAGGATATGTTACAACCACTTCCACTACGCCGACTCCCAACACCACGACCCGCACGTACGCCGTTACCCAGGATCCTCGATCACACAGGCCGACCACTCGAGATGTCACTCGCACGCAGAGGTCCTCCACTCTCGATTCCACGAGTCGACCACCGGTTATTGTTATGACCACCCAGAAGGACCGTGCTAATGGTACCAGTTCTCATTCTTCCAACGCTCGTCCCGGAAGTCCCATGCGGGATGATTACCGGTCGAGCGATGGGCAGTTCTATACTCAGCCTGCCTCATCTATACGTTCACGCAGCACAGCCCGCTCCTATGCCGACCAGCCGGGCACCGATAGCTATGGTCGCAGTAGCAGGGAACGCAGCAACAGCTTAGTGCGCGATGACCCTTACCGCAACAGCCGTCAATCCGCTATTTACCAGAACAACCCACGCCAAAGCTCCAACAACGTCGATTACGGAGACGACGGATACCAGTACACCAATGCCGGGGAATTAGTTCGTTATGATCTCGATCACTCAGCTCCGACGAGGACACGGAGACGTGAGAGTCTCGACCGTGGATACTATCGTCCTAACATCAACTATAACGCGGATCAGCGGACATTTAACGTTGATACGAGCCCCGATTTGAGTCGCAATCATATAACCACAAACACAAGTAGCGCCTCGACCAGTCGACAATACGATAACCGAGGAGGTCCTCCGCCTAGCACTCGTGGATTCGATAAGATCCGAGGGTACGAAAGCCCCCGTGACTACGCTCCGATGCCCTCCAAAACACCAGAACCTGTTTCGACAAAACAGGATGTCCCTCTCGTCGCCACTACCGAGACGACAAGACGGCCTCGGCCAGTGTCGCTGTACCAGGAGGGGCCACCCCGTTCTTCCCATCATGACGACTACTACCGTAGTCGAGAGGACGAAAGAAAAATGCGAGAGTTTCGTGAACAGCCTGAGCTTGAGCGTGCTCATGAGCCGGAGCGCTCATACGAAACCCCATATTTTCATGATGATCGAGTCACTTCCCGTGGTTTTGGTATACGAACTGATCTTGCCGATGAACACGATGACCGCCGCGAACGTCGCCAAGAACCCAAGAAGCGGTCGGATGAAGATCTACCGCGCGAAACTGATTACGAGCGCGATGATCGTCGCCGGAGCCGTATCGATTCAAAGGAGCCCCGTCGTGAGAGACGTGAGAGTAAGAAGGGCAGCGACGATGAGGAAAAAGAGCGTACGCGATTTCGCGATAAGGTGGCTACTGGCCTGGGCATTGCTGCGACTGCAGTGGGACTCGTCCCCGCCATCAAAGACGACGATAAGCGCGAGAAGGAGGCGAGCAGACGTAAGGGCTCTGATGACGAACGCGAGCGTGAGCGAGATCGCGACAGGCGGCGAGACTCGATGAAGAGCGAACGCCCACGCAACCTGGAACGGGATCGATCGCGACAGCGGGACCACTCACGACAACGTGATCAAGACCGTGGGTCCAGAGACACAAGTCGCCGACCTGTGGAATCGCGTAAGAGTGGCGAGGCGGTCGTTTCAGCCTCGGACTCAGACGAAGGTAAAAAGTCGACCCGAAGACGTCACGACTCTAATGCTTTTAACCCTAACGATACATCTGATTTGAGGCAGCTCAAAGACCAGCTCGCAGCCTTGAATGCTACTGACAAGGAGAAAGAAAAGGAGTCTCCTATCGTAGCTGAAATCACATCGCCCTCCTCCTCGCCTTCGGGAGAATCCAGAAACGTGACCGACACCCGGCCATCTAGAGAACACCATTCCCCGTCTGATTCAAAACCCTCCACTCCTCCTAGTGAGGAGGTTCGTGGCCGTGAGCTGCAACAGGCTTCTCTGGATGATAAGCAAGTCCGGGTTGTATCGCCCCCTCGTGACAAGAAGGACGAGAAACCTTTGAAGGGTATCTTGAAACAGCCCAAAGTTAGCTTCCCGGAAGAGCCAAATCCCATCCGCGAGGGCGTTGCACCTCATAAGGAAGACAAGAAGGCTAGAGAAGCACCTGCAGGTGCAAAATGGACCAAGATCAGCCGCAAGGTTGTCAACCCCGAGGCTTTAACTATCGGCAAGGAGAGGTTCGAGGTCAGAGATGATTTTGTAATCGTGCTGCGAGTACTCAGCAAAGAGGAAATCCAGGCATATGCCTCAGCGACACAAGTCCTGCGTGGTAAGTTACAGGCTTAGATTCATACATCTATCAGAGTATGCACTGATCATGTATACAGAGAGACGTCGCCGTGACGAAGATGGTGGTGACACGGATCGTGACAGGGAAGATGATGACAGAAAAAGGCATCATCGCCATCGCCGTCATCGTGAAGATGATTCATCGGACTACGAAGATAAAGATCGGGATCGAGAAAGGCGCAGGCGACACCGAGATGAGGAAGAGTACGACACGAGGTCAAGGGATTCTGACCATCATCACCATCACCATCGCAGTCACCGCGAGCGCGAGCCTGTTCTCGAGGCTTAACCCAACGGGCAAGCAAGTACAAAGGACCTATATTGTCATGGATGGCTTCTTTCTCTCCAGGATTTGAGGCTTTGCGTCGAATATTTTCAGTGGAGACATTCTCGAATTTATATCAAGCTAACATATACCATAAGCATGGAATGAGCGGTTTAGCGAGGCATTTTTGGATACATAAAAAGAAACAAAACAAAATTCGGCTTGGACGATATTTCTTACTCAGTATCCGTATTGGCTACTTCTTTGTCCCACAGTGACTGATGAACGCTTCTAGCTTCCAGGGCGTGGATATTTGGAGCAAGGGAATCTTGGTAGACGGCCCGGTGCTTCCTTTGAGTTTGAAGCTTAAATGAAGGCCACCGAAATGATCCATATGTCAAAAATTGGGTAGCAACAGTTCCATGTTGGGTGTCTACGGTGGCAAACTGGTGATGAGATGGAGCTAAGATGTGATGAAGGCTGAGCGGTTTACACGCAATGATGCACTAGCAGCAACTAACGTCTACTTCGTTGAGGAGGATCGTAGGCTACACATGTGCTGTGTCTATTTTTTGCTCATGTCGGGTTCAGGATGATCTGTGAACTGCACTTTGATAGCTCGCAAGCAAGGCCAAGTGACAATTTTGACTAGGTGTGTGAATCAGGATGCTTATACTTTCAAATTATTTGAGTACAGCTTCTAGCCCATACAAAATTGCAGTATTTCTATGCCTACAGATCGCCAGTTATCTCGATGACAGGAAGACCTCCAAGGCACAACCATCTTGGGCCTCGGCTTTCACCAAGGTACAATAGCCTTGTGGCAAAGGTTTTGACCGATGCCAGTGCCCGCAGTAGCATGGTTGAAGAGGTAACCTAGACCTGGCGCGGGAAGGTTCCTCGTCCATCTCATGCTGGCTCCCGCAATTCTCATTCCTCTGGCCGTGTCCTCTCCTCAGTCTAGACTCAAGGCCGGCAGCCGTGATTTGCCTACTAATAGTCAACAAGGCAAGTTTCTGGCACCTCCAATACTGAGGTGTTGTACGACATTTCTAAAGAACAGAGGAGCGATCGCTCGATTCTGGACAAGTGTTGTCTGGCCATGGGTGGGATAATGCGCGCCAGCGTCCTGATATCGTTAGCATTACGGGTAGAAGCAGTTTAAGGAATGAAGTCGAGACATGCTCCCGCCTCCCATTCATTTTAGCTCGCTAATCTTTCCTTCGAGTTCTCGCAAGAGGCCATCATACAGTGCAACAGGCAGGGGTGAAAACAAAACCCAGGCCTTGTGGTTGCTGTTCACATCTCGAGCAGTCTTGTGACCACTGCTACAGTAGTAGCTGGATTGTAATAATGGCCAGCTTGGCATAGACAGCTCTTAAACTCGTGTTATCTCCAATGAGTTCATTTGTTTACCCAAGATGAAGTGCCCAGAGACTAGTACAAGGCGTTCTTTGTGTCATGTTCTGTCCGATGTTGAATCAAGATGAGACGGATGGTGAGTTGCTAGAAGCCGTGGTCAGGAATGTACTCGTTTCAAGTGTCTAACTACTGTTCTAACGAGAGGTGATCAGGGCTTGGTCAAAGTCAAAGTCAAAGTCAAAGTAAAATAAAATAAAAAGGCTTGCAGTAAAAGCTACAGTACAGTACCGGTATCATGCATGCCACAAGTCGCGACGTTTCAGGCTGGTACTGTACCGTTCAAGCCATCAGAGTTTGTTTGCCAACCCGTCACCAAGAATAGTAACCTATGTTAATTAGCAGCCACGTCTGGCTGGGATGGAGTGACGCCCAACCGCCGATCTCTGGCTTGACTGTGGCGGCGAGAGAGGATGGAGACATGTCTTAAGAATCCACCCCGTCGACTATGATTTAGTCTGTGACAATAGGCCCCTTTTCTCTATACGTAGTTTATTTACATACGGTGAACGGCCCATGGATATACTGTACAGTACTGTAGGTGAATAGAGGCGTTCCGATGTGCCTACGTTGCTTCTTCCTTCGAGGCTCTAGAGACAGTGTCATGGATTTGATGCATTGCCAACATCGAAATTGTGTCTGCGTCTCTTCAGGATATCGTATAATGTATTGAGAACAGGAATTATTTTCAGTTATTTGTTGGTCTGCAAGATTCCGGCTAGAACGCAAAGTGCCGTTCGACGCCAGGATAATGCATGTGTGCAAACTGTGAACGCGTCCAACGGTGCGACGACTGGCAGTGTGGTATTTCTTTATTAATATTGTAACGACCAAGGAGTGCTCTTGACTAACATAGAAAAAGATTGCGAGCGTACCAAATACAGGGCATCTGCATACATCTGCTCTTGATACTAACAAATTACTCCTGAGGCGCAACTTGGTTCTACATTTTGACTCACCTCGAATATAGAGTACCAACTGAACGTAGGTTGTAGAGTTACGGGGATGATTAGACGATGTGTGCACTTGCATTCTGGGAGTACAGTCACGTTTCAAGGTAGCGTACTGTCAAAAGCTGCCGACTAACAGAAGATACGCATGCCCCTGTTAGCTTCGGGTCGATGAGACTATAATGCTGCAGAAGAGTGATTCTGCATAGTTGTTTGCATAAACTGCACGATCATGTCAAACCAGTGCGTGTCTAACAGCCTATCATCGCGCAGAACCTTCAGAAGCACACGTCAATCGAAATACAAACAACCAGCTGGCGGGTTATCGTAGAACTGCGTATTTATTCCTGTTTAGAACTATATAGCTCAGTCGTAAAGTGAGCGTATCCAGCGGTATACTGAGTGAGAGTGCATGGCGTCGTATTAAAGAGTCAAGATAGGCTGTGGATAGTATGCGAGGTCATGAATTAATTGGTGCTGACACTGTTGGTTGAGAGCACCGCGTGCGTAAGGTGGTTTCATGGACTCGAAGGATCGGAAGAGCTGATACCACCTGCTCATTCTTCCAACAACCTCACCTCAATCAAACAAGTATAGATTGCTGAGACGATTACGTACCTCGCAACCGAACCGACATAGGATGGGTGAACCTAAATCGAGGCGGCCTAATCATGCTGTATGTTCTCTTGGGCGGATATCAATCGAAGCACGGGCAATTTGCTTTTTTAAGCGCTGGTGGATCCTTGGACAATACCGGCAGTTAAACTGGTGAATAGGAAGCGAGCCAGCCAGACAAGCTGGAGCATCAGCTCGGCTACGTAGTCAAGACCGTTCAGAAGTTTACCGTAGAAGCCCAAAGGAGTCAGTCAATCTGTATGTACATATGTATCACTTCTATCAAGAGCCACCGTGGAAGCGGAACCCCTTGCCGGTCATATTCCAATTAGTCTTTTGAATACAGCCCCCTGGTCCGGGGAATGGCGGCCGCACCCCTTCTTCCCATCCTGGCTGTGCCTGGAAATGGCGGAGCTTGTCCAGTCGGGGACACGAAGTGTCCCACAACGGCTGGTACTGTACAGTACGGAGCTGCTTGAGTTAAGAGTGGGCTCGCATCCCTGACCGACATTCCAGTGGTGGATCGAAGGATGTTGCTGTAGTTAGAGAGATTGAAGGCCCAGAGACTCGTCAGATAGATTTGGTAGGGTGCGACGCGGTACGGCTGCTGTTGGACTGATCGTATATCATGGGAAATTATGGGAAGCGAATGATAAATGCGACTACCAATTAGTCTGGGACGTGCGTTAGGCGTATGGGTGCTGAAGTAGAGTCCTTTGCCATACGATAAGCATAATGCTATGCTTGCCACAACGTATTAAGCAGCCATCGTGTCAATCTGTTACCGCACTCGCGCAGTCGACGTGTGGTATCCAGAACCAGATTGATAAATTCCGAGGGTTTGTGCTAGGATGAGGTTTAAGCCTTGAACCCAGGTAGATCTTCAACGGTAGGGCTGCGAGGATAGATCTGAACATCGTCGAAGAGACTCGTGGGTCAGGTTGCGGTCACAACTAGGCACAGTACAGCATGCCCATGATCGTACATCTCCATGGATGGTAGTGCCGAGCAGGGTCTGTGACAGCCTTGTGCATGTTGACAGGCAGCGGTCATGCCCATGGCGTCTCATGGCGGATGAAGGCGAAAAGATCGTGGATCTGTGGGTGGCCCTGGCAGGATCTGGTGAAAATAACAGGCAAAAGCGCAAGCTTCTGAAGCTGTCATAGTACTCGGCGGCTGAGGAACACGCGGGTGTGTGGTGGGCAACCGCTACCATGGGCATTTGCTGCACCATGACCAATTACCAGTACTGTACGCAGGATGCTCCAGTTCTGAGAAATGAACTCAGCATGAAGTTAACATGCATTCGATTGTAGTAATATCCTCATATGCTGCGGCTGTGCCTCGGAGGACAGTGGGGAATGCAACTCCAGTGACGGTGACTGTCGATGCACTGTTTCCTGCATCTTCAGCAGCAAAGGGCTGCGACACGAATAAGCACAACTTGCTCCTGATAGCATGTACATATCCGTAGCATTGGATTACGATACCACAGGAGGAGATATGGGGCTGCCCGAATCAGCACATTCAACATTGCACCATCAGCAGCAAAGAGCAAGTGCCACTAGAGCAAAGTGAGAAGGTCCCTAGGCCCGCGGACTCGACACCGACCTGTACAGTAACACGACCGAAGCAGCGAGGTTGGTGACGACGGGTTGTCAGCCGCGCATGAGATGGGAAATGAGGTGTTGACAAGTTTGGCGTTTGGGTGACTAGGCGGCATCCTAAAATTAACAGATCCAAGTTAGGATGTAGCTTTTGCGGATCAAGGACTTGCACACACACCATCACAGCAGAAGTCCCTCAATCCTCACACCACTCCCCACCCGCACTGCATAAAGCATCGGGACGCTTAGCCAGTACAGGACAGTACATAGTACAGCAAAGTACATGAAGCCGAGCGTTCAGGCGCTGACAAGTTCGAAATGCGGAACTAGTGCTGTGTACTTGATGAAGGGGAAAGTGACCCGTCCCGTGGACAGATGAAAGCAAGTCGCGTATCCGTAGGTATGTTTCTTTGTAGTGGACATGTATCTGTGC